CACCCCAGCCACCATGGCCAGGCCTGTCCAAATCTCCTCAGACATGTCCTGGAGCTGTGGGCTCCCCCATCCTGCTCCCTCCTTGTGTGTCCTGCTCCCACTGCTCCCCAATAGCTCTGCTTCAAACAGACACAGCCACTCACCGGCAGCCATGGGTTAAGGATGCTGCCATGATATGCCAAAGCCAGGTACTTGTTAATTGTTACTCTGGATTTCTCAATCCTTTGTGTGAAGTCTTGCATCCTATAACCTTTGTCCAATATCATRTTTAGGTGGGACAACAGAAACAGACATCCCTTTGCTTAATTACCTCGTGACTTCATTTTCTTTCTCATGGTGCAAAAGAAGAGGGTACTCCCTCTATTTGCTCAGTCTAAATGTACTKTATTCCTTCAAATTAGATTATTTCCACTGGACTACATTCAAATTTATTCTTGTTTCGATGCTGTTTTCTGAGGTTCCCAGAGCTCCTGATAATAGTGCTTTTTCTAGCACTGCTTGCTATTTTCTTCACCAGCATCAGAATATAATATTTATTAATGTTTTATTACTCTAGGTATCAAATTCTGTAGTTTTATTTTTTTCTACAGAGCTTCTCAAAGAACAAGCATGATACAAAGGTACCTTGCTGAGAAAGTTACCCACCAAAGGGAGAGCATCTTCGTGGGGGGCCTTGTCAAACTGCTAACACATCCAACATAGAAAAACACTTGTTATCCCTCCAACACTTCACCCTCAACAGAAAGTAAGAAAACTATAACTCTTTTCACCTTCCAATTTTCTATTCCTAAATACCAAATATTTACTTATCCTCCACTTGTAGCCAAGGATATCTCCGATTTTTTTCAAATTCCTGTGCAATAAGCTCATACACTTCCTTCTTTGGGCTTTGTTCCTCACTGAGGAATTTTCAGATAAGGAAGTTCATCCAGAACTTTACCGTTCTGGGTAGGTTAGCACTTTCAGTCAGCAACTCTCTTCTTAATTTTCCATTCTTGCCCTGACTACTAATTGAAATCACATTCTGCATGAAGGACCACCAGTCTTAGTCTATTCAAAATTCGCAGCYATCTTACTCAGCAGGAACTGACTTTGAATGATTACAAGAAACACAGATTTTTCAACTACTCACTTTCAAGTATAAGACTCCAGGTCTGCATATAGATTGAAGTTGTGTTCAAACTGCCTTCTGCTGTCTTCTGCACTTAGAAAAAGTTTGAGCTCTATATGCGTTTTCAGTTTTATTTCCCTCTCCCTCTCCCTCTCTCTCTCTCTCTCTCTCTCTCTCTCTCTCTGTGATATAAGGTAATCAGTGATAGCTGATTTAAGTGTGTGCAGCAAATTTTCTGCTCTCTGTCCCATTCCAGCTCACTGAGGATGCAAGCATTAGATCCAGACTGTCAGTTTAAAGCTCGAGCTTAAAGACCTCAAGTACACGCTTCCTTGCTGATCTCATTGCTCATATATTGAGCTCAGACTTGGCTTGAGTTTGGAATTGGAAACCAAGGGAAGGACCTGARTCTTGCTTCTGCAGACAGTTTAGATTGGATGAGCTTACGCCAAATGAAATTGCAAGCAACCCACATCCTGGCACAGCTTAATTAAGAAACTAAAGATGAAAAAGTCCAACCCAAACTCTCTCTGAGAAACACTTGACTTTTAGGCATAATTCCCAGTAACAAACTGTGCAGCCCAGAGTACAAGAACATGTGGATTTAAAGATGACTGCTGAGTTCTCACTGTTCTTAGCAGGAGAGCTTGTTTTCATAGGTRCAAGCTGACATAAATTAAAATGATGTCACTAAATAATTGTACTGAATATGTCATGAATTCAAGGTTAGATAAGGACAAAGGAAGCTGACTGTAAAACATAGACAGTAGATTCCAGTTCAATGGAATCMGATCTATAAACAATCTTATCATAAATCTTACTTTGTACAAGTTTCTAAAAATTATCCACTTTTTCCTTCCTTAGTATCTGTATGTTTTTCATCTTGTCCCAGTATGTTGAAACTATAACTGTGTAGGCATCTATGCATTTATATACTTGTCAGTGTGTATTAAAATATATCTGTTTGAAAACCACACTAAGTTCAAATTCTAAACTGGACTTACCCCTCAAAGATGGATCTAGGCCTGAAAAATCTTTTTTTTTTTTTTCCTAGCTTGCTGTGAAACCTTTCAACTCTGTGTWAGGAAACACTAATTTATATATTTTTATATTGCTCAATCTCTCCACCCAGATGATTCTGTAAAACGGAAGCAGCAGGATCCATCAAGAGATGACCCAGCCCAGTCCTCTGCCTACATTTAGCATTATTAATGTTTCTCTCGTTTTTCACAGGTTGTTATCTAACCCGCACTTTCAGATGGCTAACAATGCCAGCTGAACAAACTTTCTCAACTAAGCACTCATAATCCCCTCGCTGATATTTGAATTTTTCTTCCTTTGATGTAACCTGAAACCTTCTATTACGGTGCAGGACCCTGAGACAGACATGGGTATAATAGCTTTCATTTTTCCTTGTAAAAACCTTATATTATATTATATTATATTACACTCCTTCACCAAGTGTTCTAGGTGACATTAAATAACATTTAGTATTACTTCAATTTTTCTAAAACTTTCTTGTTGCCCTTCCTTCCAGAAGCCATTCAGTTAGCATATGCTTCTTGGAATGCAACACAACTAAATACAGGTATGGAGGTTTATGAAGAATTAATGAACTTTAATATTTAGCCCTCTACTAACAGTGGTACTGTTAGTATCACTGTACTTATGTACATAACTTACAGTTATGTAAGTACATAACTGTACTTACAGTTATGTAAATACCCAGATTGGAGTTTTACATCAGAACTGAAGTGTGGATAAAGAGTACAGGTAAGTAAATTTAGGATTTTTAGCAGAGCCTTGAATCATATGGAACTATAGAGTTAGACCAAGTAAGAACATCATCRTGACATTATCTAATCAACCAACCCCAAACTTAAATTAAGACTATAGAGAAATGTTATTGGCATAATTAATTGTACTGGTTCTAATACATACAATTCCAAATAATCAGTGTTAGTCTGTTTTCTTTCTACTAATACCTAAATAAATCATTGAATAATTTGAGTTTGAAGGGACATAAAAAGGTCATCTAGTCCAACTCCCCTGCCATGAGAAATGATGTCTTCAACTAAATCCTGTTGTTCAGAGTCCCGTCCAATCTGGCCTTGAATGTTACCAGGGAAATGGTCATCGACCACCTCTCTGAGCAACATGATCCAGTGTTTCACCAGCCTCATTGTAAAAATGTCTTCCTCATATACAGTCTAAATCTACCCTCTTGTCTTACCCTTTGTTGCTGAAAAAACATTCATCCCCTTTTTTCTCACAGGCTCCCTTTAAGTACTGGAAGGCTGCTCTAAGTTCTCCCCAGAGCTCTCTCTTCTCTGGACTGAACAACATTTCCTCTCCKCTTTTCCTCCCTGGAAGGTTCTCCATTCCTTTCACTATTTTTGTGGCCCTCCTCTGTATCTGCTCCAACAGTATTTTCTATGCTGAGGACCCCAGAGCTGGACTCAGCACCRCACTGGGGTCTCACCAGAGCAGAGCCAAGGAGCTGAATCCTCTCCCTCGCCCTGCTGGTCACGCTACTTTTGATGCAGCCCAGGATGCATTTGGCTTTCTGGGCTGCGAGTGCATATTTCTGGGGAATGTCCAGCCTCTCACACACCAACACTCCCAAACACTTCTCAGGAAGGGCTGCTCTCCATCTGTTCTTCTCGAAGCTTTTATAGATACAAGGATTTGTCCTGATTGAATACAAATTGCATTTAACACATGGGATAATTATTCATCAGTCCAATCATCTCAYATCATACTTAGTGTAGCAAAGTGAAAAGCTCATCTACTTAATTGAAAACCCTATCAATATTAATTTTATCCAAAAATTAAAAATGTTATGACTAGAGTATATTCTGGAAATAATTTATCTGTAGTCATTATGAGCCAACTCTTCTCCTAAACTTTCCCAATAGAAAAATGCTGATAGTAATGACTTTTTCTCTTCTGAAAACCTTTCCTGAAGAGAACCCTTCAGCATTCATCCACGTGTCATACTGATGATGAAACAATTACATATTCAATACAGTCTCCCCACTGAGATTTTACAAAAAAACCCTTGTCTGTTTAAAGACGGCAGAGAGTAGTGCCTATTTAAATTCTACCTTCTAAAACCTTTCCTGTCCAATAAAAGATAGCTAGAAAAAGTATACTGTGGGGTGTCTTTCAGGCAGCAAATGAAACTAGGTGGGAGGCTCAAAGCTGTTCCTGTTGCAAAGAGGGGAGGAGTGGTAGCATAGCCAGCAACAATTAATGCATATCATAGCTGATAAGTTATGGATAAGAGRGAAAATCAAGGGGAATCCAAGAAAAGTATTTTTAAATCCATTGCAGCCCTCTCATGTTYCTTACAAAGCCCTGGCTTGCTGACTGTGGAGGAAAAGATATGAGAAGACTCTTTTTGTCTGCGGCTCTAAACCAAAGGAACTAAAGGCTTCATAGGAAGGAACATGAATTTACCTTGGGTCCATTTTCACAGTTCCCAGATGAGAAACAATGATGASCTTAGGGAGCCAGCAGTGTTCCCTTAGTAGTCTCTATGTTAGGTATTTGAAATATATTGAAAATTAAAATTATATGATTACTTCTCACTTAAGAAAACACACTGATTCTTTAAAAACATGAGCAAAATTAAAGMTGAATTTAAGAAAATCACTTATGGCACAAAAAGCACATTAGCACTGCCCAAATCATCATTTATGAAGAAAGGTGGTTATTTTGGCTGAGATGACAAATTACCCTTCCACAGTAGAAGGAAAAAAATAGTTTACAGTTCAAGCTGTAAAGTTATTAAATGAGATCTGACTGTACCAAGAAATGCACAATATATTAGAAAAGTCAATTTCTTAAATTAAATGGCAAATCAGCAAGTGGATGAAGGACTGACCTTGGATCGGGGTGGTGCTCGGATGTACCATTTACAGTCTACTGCTTCAGTTTCAGAAGCTTTTCCTTCTTTAACAATTTGTACAGATTCCACAATTCCTTCAGGTCCTCCCATCTCAAACTCACAAACTGAATAACAAAACACCAGAAAAAATGAAACCTGAACAGCAAACAAAAATGTTTTCTACAGCAGAGTATAAAGGCCTCCAAATTAGGGAAAAACTCTAAAACAACATACCAACCTGGCAATGGYTTCAAAACGCCAAGGTCCTTAAAATCTGGATCTTAAAAACAGAGAAAGATAAATTTAGTTTTGTTCAGTATCTAGGATGTTATGTCAATATGCTCAAATTTTACAATGCACTTTAGTTATATAATTATATATATTTTTCTTGGAATTGAGAAATGTTTCAAAACTATGGCAACACAATAATTATTAATGCAGAAATTATTGATACTGTCATACAAAGTTATTTTTTTCTATTATGAAATCCTGCTTTTCTCTGTCTCTCTTTCAAAAGGGTACAAAAATATTTCTGCATACATTAGCAAGCGAGAACATCACACAGCTAACCACATGATCTTTTAATACATCAGCCTAATGAAAGAGGATATATTTACAGATCCATTCAGAACCTTTTTTGCATATTTTGCATTTTGCAGTATAACACTCAACTTAACTAGAGAAATCTRAACTTAATTCTGTGTTTATGAAAATTTTCTGCCATCACTATTGACCAAGAGGAGACGCTTTCTTTGTCAGAAGCATACATTTGGTCTTACTAGAAAAAAAWA